TCTCATTTGAGATGTAACACTATCACACTGGGGGAAGCTTTTGAATGCAATTCTCAAACACTAATATGAGCAATGAAAGAACCAAAATCCCTTTCTTCATAGAGTTAACAGGATAATGGATGATAATTTCCAGAGGGACGAGAGCTATTTAAAAGAGCTATTTAAAGATAAAAAATAATAAATAAACAAAAGGAGGCTAATAGAATAGAGACTACTTTGGCTACCCTAGCCTAGGAGTTTAAGGATGGGTTCTCCAAGCAGGTAAGAATGGAATTAAACCTGAGTAATTAGAAACACTCAGCCATGAGAAGATGTAAGAGGAGTGTGGGCCAGGTGGCGAGAAGAGCAAGTGCAAAGATCCTGTGGGAGAAACAAGCTGGGCATGTGGGAGAAACAACACACACACACACAAAAAAAAAAAAAAACCAATGTGGCTGAAATAAGCAGGGAAAGGGGAGAATTGTATAAGATTGCAGAGGTGTATCAGGTTCTGCTTGTTCAGTGCTAGAACCAAGAACCTAGAACCATGCTTGGTATTGAATAAATTTCTGTCGAATGAATGAATGAAGTTAAAATTTGAGTAAGACAGTCTCAAAAGTTCCTTCAGGGCAGGGACCAGAACTTGTAGGGCTTTGCAGGCCAGGGTTCCAGGAGTTTGGATTTTATTCTAATCACCGGGGAAAGTCATTGAAGGCTGTTAAGCATGGGAATTATATGATCCAATGTATGCTTTGAAAACATCATTCTTGCTACTGTGTGGAGAATATACTATAGATATGCTTCCATTGCTCTTGTAGATCTGCTCTACCTTCTCCACCTGTGTCCCAGGAGGCTGACCTATATAGACTCTACCCTCTGGCTTCTAGTTGTGTTCAACCAATGGCATTTTCAGTAGGCTATCAGGAGAGAGGCTGTCTTCAAATTGAGTACCCCATCTATATCTGCTAGGACCGAACTGAGAAAACTAGAGACTGGTTAGGAAGCTCTGTAGTAGTCTAAGCAAGAGATGATGATATCCTAATTTCTTATTTGTTGTGGAGGTAAAGCTTATTTATTTTGGAGGGACATCTGAAAGTATTTGCTCATAGATTGAGTGTCAGGGAAGAGGTGGTGGGAAAAAGGAAACTCTCAAGACATTTCCTACATTTCTGGCTTGGATATGGCACCATCAAATAGATGGGGAAGACTAAGAGGAGAGCAGATTTGGGGCAAGGATGGAAAGGCAAGATCGAAAGTTCCATTTTGGACATATTTAGGTCAAGATGCCTGTTTGCATTTAAGTGGTCATGTTGAGTAAGCAGAGGGGAGAGGTCAGAGCTTAAGATTGAAATTTTTGACTCACCAGCATAAACTTTGTTTTTTCCAGACAGTTACAATTTGAACAAAATTACATTCAGTTCATGGAAAAATTTTAATAATTCACAGAATGGAAAGAATTGTGAAGAACACAGTCCCCAAGTTTGGCAAATTTTAGGAATCAGCAATCCACATGGTTAGTTGTATAATTTATAAAGGAGTCCCAAAGAAGGGCTGAATGGTAAAGGTTAAAACTAATCTGATGATAGAATAACTGGGTGGTTGGAAGGAAGGATTCAACAAAAATAAGGGAAGGCTGAACCTAAGAAGTCATACAAAAGACTATAAAACCAAATTTAAAACCTTAGCTGTCTGTATAACAAGAAGGCATACTTTAAGTAAATGGAACTCTTAGCCACTAATTTAAATCTCCCCCAACCACCAACTTCAATTCCACAAATATTTATTGAGGATTTACATTCGTAGAAGGCACTCTGCTAGGCAGTGTGGGTACAAAGTGCATTGCCGAAGTAAAATCCTTTGAGACTTTATTGAACTGCTACTAAACGAGAACTAAAATTAAGGTTTGCTTCTGCAATCAATGAAAAGGCCAGGGAGCCATTGAAATGAGCCAGAGAAGCCAAAGGCCTGGCGCACTCACAGCTTGAATCATTAGCTCTGAGGCTCTAGATTTTTCCTCAATTAAGGCTCAACAACATGCTAGACAAGCCCTTGGAAGGAACTGTTTGGATCTGTGATGGGTAACAACTGGCCGCAGACCACCTCCTACAGTCTACCTCCACACTCAGCTTGGTGGCACAGCTTAGAAGCCAGGTTCAAATGTAGCCTTTTGGCTCTGAGTTCAAAGGGTCTAGGGAGAACACATTTCCTGGGCCATCCCAGTGTAGATGAACTATTTGAGAACGTTGGTCCCCAACCTGGATCATCAACCTGCTCCTGCCCATCAGGGATAGTCAGGGAGTGGAGGCAGAGGATTGAATTGCAAAGCACTGACCCTCCAGCTGGGGGCGGGGGGGCAGTGAGACCAGGCTCTGGCTGGCTTGGTGCTTAGGAGGCCTGGGACCCTCAGCAGGAAGCAGCCCCAGAATACCCTCCCGTGGCAAATGGAGAGCAGCTCCTACAGCCACAGGAAAGAGAAGCTGAGCTTGGGCTCGTTCTCCAGCTGGGTCCACCACTCCCAGCCCAGAGCAGGTGCTCAGTAGGAGCTGGGTGAATGTTGCACAGAATGGAGGTAAACCAGTTCCGGCCCCTGTGTGGCCTTCATTGAGTCACTTCTCCTCTCCAGCCTCAGCTTCTTTATCTGTAAAGTGGGGATAAGATCTACCTCATTGGATGGTTTTGCCTTTACCATTAGCCTTCTTTTTATTCAGTGGTTAGGTAGTTGAATCTAGCCATAAGAAAAGACATTTTTTTTCCTTTGGGATTCAGTAAGGTTATTTTCAAACCAAACTTCTAAAATTTTAAATCCAAATGAAGGTTGCTCACCACTGGTTTGGTCAGAAGGCTCTAGGGTTAAAAGCCCTAACTAGACAAAGTTCACAGCTTTTTTAACTTCATTATCCAGTACTTCTGTGACCTCCAGCCACTCACAACTACAAACAAAGGGCAGGTTTGCATGGGCAGGATCCGAAGAATCACTGGTTTTAACAGAGGCTTCCCTGGGTTGTACGCACCCCTCCATGTTTATTTTATTCCCATTGGAAATGGTGGAGGGGTAGAGAGATGGTTCATTTGGAGAGATGGTTCTCAATCCTGGTTGTACAGAATTACTTGGGAGATTTGTTATTATTTTTTAATTTTAAAATCTGACGCCTGGGACCCACCTCCCAGAGTTTCTTTTTTTTTTAAGATTTTATTTATCCATTTGAGAGAGAGATTGAGGGCACGAGCAGGGAGAAGGAGCAGAGGCAGAGGGAGAAGCAGGCTCCCCACTGAGCAGGGAGCCTGATGCAGACTTGATCCCAGGACCCTGGGATCGTGACCTGAGCTGAAGGCAGATGCTTAACTGACTGAGCCACCCAGGCGACCCCCTCCCAGAGTTTCTGATTTAATGGATCTGAGATGGGATCCATCTAGGCTTAGTACTTTTGAAAAGCTCCCAAATGATTTTAAAGTGCATCCAGGGTTGGGACCACTAAGAGAGGGTGATGGCTGGGCCACAGCTGCATTCTGACTATACTCAGTGTATGACCATCCTAACCTCGACCCGTGAGCACAAATCCCCCTTGCAGTTCCAAGTACAGCCCACTGAGCACAGACCTCCCCACCCCCCAAAACACACACACACAAGTTCTGAGAGGCCACTGCTGCAGCAGGGAGCCACTCCTTCAGCAAAAGCTCTCAGGTTTGTATAACCAGGCTTAATCTCTCAGCAAGACCAAGGGCAGCAGGTGGAAGCGAAAGGACTATTCTGGAAGAAAGCAGAGCCCTCCCTAGAATGTTGCCAGTAAAGTATTCCCAGCAGAGAGTAGTCATCAGTTGCTGATCTAAAAATGACGAAAGGTTGGATCCAACTAAAGATGACAGAAAACCCAAAGTCACAATGGCTTAAATAAGAGAAAAAAAGTATTTCTCGCTCATATAAGCCCAGACCATCCAGGGTCCGTGTGATGGCTTCACAATCAGGAAGATAGGCTGCTTCCCTCTCTTTACCTATCACTGTCCAAGACGGGGTGGGGGGGCGGGGAGGGGGCTGTTAAATTTTAGGCCTCATGTTCACATTCCAACCAGCAAGAAGGAGAAAGGGAAGGGGGGAATGTCACCCTCGTTTTAGGGTCATCTCCCTGAAATTACACACCACCCTGCCATGTATATCTCATTGGCCAGCTCTGAGTCACAGGGCCAGGTGCACCTTCAGGGAAGATCACCTTCAGGGAAAATATAGTCTGTATGCTGGGAAGTTGTGTGCCCAGCTAAAAATTGAGGGTTCCTTTGCTATTGCAAGGGAGGGGGCTATGGGACAACAGCCAACAGTCTGGGCCTGAGAGCACCCCCCCGCCCGCCTCGTGCAACGGGGCTGTAACTATTAAGTTACATGTCAACAATGTGCTTGACTGGGATCCCACTGAAAACCACGGACATAAGACTATTTTCCTATATCCCAAATTCCAATGGCTCTAGTGCCCTCCCACTGCCCTGAGAAATCACCTGTCCTACAAGAAAAGTGTTCCAGGGGAGTTCTTCCGGGAAACCAGGCCTTCCATCTAATGTCCCTCCAATAGGGTAGAATGGGTGTTTACACTTAGAGAGAAAGACCTGCCTTCCGTGCAGATTAATTCTTGAAGATTTACACTGATGGCAGGAGCCCTCTCCTGTTCCTTCTGGAAGCTGCACAGATTACTTTCACTGGGTCGTAAATATGTTTAACACCCTATTATGCTAACCTTTTAAACCAGTTGTCTTGGGGGGCTGCAAATCGTAGTTGAGGAACAACTTTCTATGATTTAAAGGCCCTTGAAATTCCTGGATGCTCTAGTTAAATACTTGAAATTAAGATTGGAGGGTGTAGATCTTGCTGCAAAATTCATTTCAGGGAAAGGGAGCAAAATCCTTTGGGCCGGTTCTTGGTTTTTCTTCTTCTTCTGTTGTTTTTTCCACTCTTTACTCAGCCAAGACTAAGATAAGGATTGGCAGGCAAACATACCACTGTCCTAGGTTAAAATGACTTTCTCTTCCTTCCCCAGTGTTCCAGGACCTGCGGAGGGGGCATCCAGAAGCGTGAAGTTCTTTGCAAACAGCGCATGGCTGACGGCAGCTTCCTGGAGCTTCCTGAGACCTTCTGTTCAGCCTTGAAACTGGCCTCCCAGCAAGCCTGCAAGAAGGATGACTGTCCCAGCGAGTGGCTCCTCTCTGACTGGACAGAGGTATGTATGTTCCTCAGAAGGAGATCCTGAAAGAGACCTAAGGAGGAAAAGAAGGCACCCCAAGCTTACACAAACAGAAGATGAGAACAGAACGAAATAATCCTCCTAGCGTTATGGAACAGTATTTTTGTAACCGGTTATAACACAATGTGTAACTAGCTATTAACTAGGCTGCAGGGACCTGAGGTAAGCAGCCAGCCCTTACTCAACAATCAGAAGCATGGAATTGTAAACAGGGCTCCTCATGAAACAAAATCAGGTCTTGTCTGGCCCCAAATTCTTCTCAGAAGACCCTGTTGTTCTACCTTTATCCCCACACCCACCTTCCCGACCTCCCGGCACCTCCTCCTCCCAGATGTTTTTAGTCTCTACTCAGGAAGGGCAAAGCCTCTCTGGTTATTCCCTTCCAAGTTACTGGACAATAAGGAACATGATTTATTAAGAAAAGAAGGCCAGGGAAATCCTGCCTCTTTACTGTCAGTTTCCTGGCTCCGAGACTTTAACAACTTCCCAGCAAGAGAACTTGATTTCCCCTGTTGCTTGCATTTGGGGGGATGATTACATCAGCATCCACCATTCCTGACTTGCCTCATAAGTTAGGGATATACCCCCAACTAACCTACTTTTCTAAATAATTCCTACTCGAGCACTAGCATAAATTAAGTCATTTACACCCAGCTCCCACTGGTTTTCAGCCCCTATACTCCTGCTGTGAATTGTGTACAACTCCCCCAGCTTCATAGGCATGTGTGTCTCCCATAAAGAAGTCCCCCCAAAAGTATTGCCTCCTAAGCAGATTTAGCCAAGAACGGAATCGCCAGGCCTGGAGTAAAAATCTTTGTGTCAGGAACAGATTCAAGACCCTGCCCTCTCTTGCACTGAACCGTTAGAACGGGCCTTGCTGAACCCATTGCCTTCTTGGTATGGTTGTATGTGTGTATATTGTATGTACACAACAGGATGAGGCTGCTGTGGGTTGAAACCCAGCACAGGGACACTTGCTTCCACAGAGGGAAAAGCTGCCCCTGAAAATTAAGATGCCACCTCTTTCAACCTCAGTTCTTAGAATTCTTGCCCCTTATCAGCTCACGTAGAGTTCCCTCAGATGGTGTCTACTAAGGCATTGCAGGGGTGAGTTAACCTACATCATCATAGGTTTTATAATTTGGCAAGAAAATTGCCTTCTGGTGGTGTCTCACCCCAAGTGTCTCAGAACAGAAGTAGGTATGATTATTTTTCTCAAATTTTGGAAACAATTTTCTTTCAGCAGGATAAAAGATCAAAGCATGTAAAATCAGCATGCGTGTGTTTGTGCATGTGCACATGCGCACATACACATGTTAGTGCCAGTTTTTCCATGGAATGTTGATTTGGGGTATGGTATTTTTTTTTTTAAAGATTTTATTTATTCATTTGACAGAGATAGACACAGCGAGAGAGGGAACACAAGCAGAGGGAGTGGGAGAGGGAGAAGCAGGCCTCCCGCAGAGCGAGGAGCCCGATGCGGGGCTTGATCCTAGGACTCTGAGATCATGACCTGAGCCGAAGGCAGACGCTTAACGACTGAGCCCCCCAGGCGCCCCTGGGGTATGGTATTATATGGGAATAATCATAACAAAACTAACAGAGCAGGAGACTGCACTAATGTAGTTGCCAAGTGAGTGGCTCTGGATGAAGACTTCCTCCCAGGGCCATATTGTAAAAGGTGTCCTTCCACTAAGTCTATGGGTGATGGTTGCCATGAGTGGGATGCTGAGGAAGGGGCTTGTGTATTATAATTGTCCTCCCATGTTCCTGGAGTTTGTGGCCTCTGAGCACATGGGACACAGAGAATTCAGAAAAAAATCCTTTTAGGCCTGTAGATTTGAAGCAGGGACCCTTGTGATTAGGCACTAAGAAAAGGAGACTGCTGAACTGAGGTCCTCTGGGGCCCATTAAGTATCACAGACCTTTACCACAGTGTCATGTGTGCTTAGGAGTTAGACTCACAGGGGCGCCTGGTTGGCTCAGTTGGTTAAGCATCTGATTTTGATTTTGGCTCAGATCATGACCTCAGGGTTGTGAGATGGAGCCCCGCATTGAACTCTGCACTGGGCATGGAATTTGCTTAAGATTCTCTCTCTTTCCCCCTGCCCTTCCCCCATTGCTTGCACACACACACACACACACGCTCGCGCTCTCTCTCTCTCTAAAAAAAAAAGATTACAAAAGTAGTTAGACTCACAGATAGGCAAACTTAGGTTCTAATCCTGACTCTGCCACCCACTGGCTCTATAACCTTGGGCTCATTACTTAAGCTTTCTAGGCCTCAGTTTTTGTATCTGAATACTGGAGATAATAATATCCACTCATGTGGTTCTTGGGAGGTTTCAGTTAAATGATGCACATAAACTACTTTGTGCCTAGTAAAAGTTAGCCCTCTTATTGTTATGATTCTCTTCCACCCTGCTCATTGTCAGGAGGAGAGGAAATAAAAGAAAGTGCTTACCTTGACTGGCTGGACTCAGGGTCATGGCCTAGGCTTCCCGCAGGCTTTACCAGTCTTCCTAGGAAGAGGAAATTACACTTTGGGAAATAGGACAACTTAGCCCTTATCCATGGAATGTTCTTAGGTTCTGGGTTATCTCAGTTGATGAATGGAAATTCCAAACATTGGGGAGGGCCTGGGAATGGTAGGAAGTCATCACCTTTTCACTAGGATTCAACTCAAGCTGGTGCCATACAAATGAGCTCTGGGGGTGTTCGTGGAGGCTCTAGTCGGCCCTGTCATCCCAACAGCCCTTTCCTTGGCCCTCTGACTGAGATGAAACACGCATTCCACATCCCCCGCCCCCAAGACTCCCCTTGGAGAAAGGAAGACCTGAATGATCTATGGGTGTTTTTCATCCTCAACTATCTGGGCTCAATCTTACAGTTACTGCACAGAATCCCTCAGAGACAAAATTAAGCCAAAATTTTAGACACTTCAAATAAAATTACTTTCAGATTCTATTCTGAGAATAAGACCCCTTAAAAGTTCTTCTTTAAAAGAATTCCTTGCATCTTTTGAAAGAGTTGGCTATTATGTATTTTTAAATAATATTTTTATGAAAGTCATTTCCCTAAAAAATATAAAAGAAATTAAGGTCAGAGTAGTCAGTTTTAAAGCTAGAAGGAACTTAGAAGATCCTATAGCCTGGTTGTTCTTTTAAAACTTAAAGCCCCAGAACCCTTTTTTTCCAAATGAAATGTAACATGAAGCCAAGAAATAGATAAAATCAGAGCTGTTTTGGTTGAAGAATGGGTTAGGGTCCCAGATCTCCATAGGCTGGATCTCCAGATCACCTGAAAAGCCCCTAAATCACTTCCTCAACATCAAACAGGGTTTAAAAATCCCTACTCCTGCTTAGTGTTATTTTAGAGATATGGAAATTGAGCCTCCAGAAAGAACTAGACTTGACCAAAACCATAAACCAATCTTCGGATACACAGTCTATTTTTCTGCTTGGCAGCCCTAAACGGACCATGCTTTTAAATTTTCCAGGCTCTTTGCCTCCATCCCACCTGATCCCGGGACTTGGTGCTGTCATTTACAATAAAACAAGGGATGGGTGGGGATCTGGAATCCACGATCATCAGGAAACAAAAACAATGGGTTACTTACCTCCATTTTTTGCATCCAAAATGTCTTTCACGGTGGCGTATATCAGAGCTTGCATAGAATTGTTCATTTCAGTGGGTTAGCATATAAAACTTGAAAATATAAGATAATATTTTTTGGTCTTAGTGTCATTTTTCAAGTTAACGTGGCACACTGCCATGACCCCAGTTCAGGTCTTTATCATCTCGAGCCTGGACTACTGTGGCGGCCTCCTTAACTGACATCCCCGCCTGCCATACGTCTCCTACTCCCTTCCCTCCCGGACACTGTTGCCAGATTAACCTTCTCAAAACACCTCTTTCATCATTTCACTCCTCCCTCCAATGGCTCCTCATTGCCTTGTGGACCAATTCCAAGCCTCCTGTCTGAAAATTAAAAGTCTCCAATGTCTGGCCCCAAACTACCTCTTGAGCTCCTGACACTCTCGACTTGTTCCCTCTGTTCAGTCAAACTGGTTTAGCTCTGCCCCCCAGGCCTGCCTTGGATTTTTGCACTGAACTCTTTGACCTTCCTTCTGGATATTCCCCTGCCTCCCATGCTTATCCCCGGTTTCTCCACCCATTCAGACTCTACCCATCTTCAAAACCTAGGCTAGGAAATCACTAGCGTACCATCAGCATTCAACCATCATTAGCATTAATCTTATAATACTTGACTTGTCTTGTAGTTTTATATCTCTACTAAATTCTTATATTACTATCTAATTCTTTGAACAGCTTTATTGAGGTATAATTTACATACTATAAAACTCAACTTCACATTATGTTTTCAAGGTTTATCTGTTTACCACCTATCCAAAAGAACAACATTACTTTTATGGTAGAATAATATTCCATTGTATATAGACCATATTTTTGTTTATCCATCCAGTCAGTGGACATTTGAGTTGTTTCCACTTTTTTGTCTCTGTTGAACATTCACATATAAGTCTTTGTGTGGATGGATGTTTGCACTTCTCTCGGGTAGATACCTACAAGTGAAATTGCTGGGTTATAAGGAAAATTTATATTTATCTGTGTAAGAAACCATCAAGCTGTCGCCAAGAGGACTATGCTATTTTATGTTGCCACCAGTGATATAGGAAGGTTCTAATCTTTCACATCTACATTTATAATAACATTTGTTACTGTCTTTTTTTATTATGGCCATATTCCAGGGGATAAAAAGTGGTATCTCATTGTGGTTTTGATTTCTGTCTCCCTCATACGGTATTTCATTTTAACAATGCATTTGGATTTCCCCCCACTCATTATGAGATGACAGCTCCTTGAGGTTACAAACCACCTTGCACAAATATTTTTCCATAGTATCTAGCACCCCACCTCAGACAAAGTAGATGTATGACAATTATCTGATGCTTGACATTAAAGTATTATATTTGTGAAGGAAGGAGGGAAAAATTCACACCAAGTGTCATTGCTGTGTGTGAAGTTTCAAATATATTATCTCATTTAATTCTCAACCTTGCAAACTAAGTGTAAGAAGTGGAAACAGACTCTGAGTTGCCAACTGGTAAAATACTAAGCTGGGATTGGAACGGACTCTATGACTCTGTAACTCTAAAGCCCAGGCCATATAAGTAAAAAACAGGTAGATTGTCTACAGGAAACTTTCGAGTAGAAGAATCTTAGAATGTGGTTACAATATGGACGTGTCTTCCCATCGTGTTACATAACGAATAGTTCTCTCTCTCTCTCTCTCTGTTAGTGACTGTTGCTTTTCCAAGCAACTTTTCTCACATTCTGGTGAGTTTGAGAGTCCATACAAAAACCCAGTAGCCTCTAGTTCCCTGCATTTACATGCATGTGGGCCTTCTCTCCTCACCAGTGTTCCACAAGCTGTGGAGAAGGCACGCAGACTCGAAGTGCCATTTGCCGGAAGGTGCTGAAAACCGGGGTCTCGGCTATCGTCAATTCCTCCCTGTGCCCTCCCCTGCCCTTCTCTTCATCCATCAGGCCCTGCATGCTGGCAACCTGTGCACGTGAGTATGTCGGAGCTCTGGGGATGGGGAGACCAGACCCACCCAGAAGCAGCTGTGGCCACGCAGTAGCCTTCCCTAAACCCAAGACCGGTGGGAGATCGTCAGGCAAGAAAGCCCGAGGAGGGCAGCGGGCGGGCAGCGGGCTGGTGAGCTCAGCTGGAGATGGCAAAGGAATCTTAATTACACGGGGCCAGGCGGAATTCTCTTCTCTGCTGGAAAAACAGTTTGCAGGGGGTAGAGCAAAGTTCACTCTCTGGCATAGAGAGATCTGGAAGCTGGAGTCAGCATATTACTAATGAAGTCTAATGTTGTCCACTCTGGGGTTTTAAAATGCTCCAAACAGATTTTTTCTGTTTAATATTAATCCCTAGAGTTATAACACCTCTGGGCTTTCCTCCCCCAGTACACTAGGGCCCTGGTGCTCTGCAGAACCCAAAGGGGAAAGGTGGAAAGGGAGAGAGTCCCTTCCCTTTGTCCTCTGCCTCTTTTTATGATGCTTGCTTTCTTTTTCTTTTTCTTTTTTTTAATCCTTCTAATGAGAGGTACTGCCTTTCCCCTGGCATCCCACCCTCCCCCAATCTAGAACCTGCACCTCAGCTTCTAGGGGTAGAAAGCCCCAGCGGGGCAATAGCAGGCTACCCCAGTGCGCTGCATTAGTTGGCGCATTGCTTTGCAGCAGCTTGATGGTCCACAGCTGGTAGCCACTTCCTCCCTGGAACGCCTAAGGGGGTAAATGAAAGTCCTGGCCGAAATAAACTCAAGCCGCTTTCTCTCCCTCTCTCCCTTTCGTATCCCTCCTCTCTCTCTTCGTCCTCTCTGTTCCCTCTCTCTTGTCCCTGTGTTCACTCTCCTTTTCCTCTGCCGTCCCTTCTCTTTCTCCATCTGTCTGGCTTCCCTTGCATTCCCTTCCTTCCAGGGCCCGGGCGGCCGTCCACCAAGCACAGCCCTCACATCGAGGCCGCCAGGAAGATCTACATCCAGACCCGGAGGCAGAGGAAGCTGCACTTCGTCGTGGGCGGGTTCGCCTACCTGCTCCCCAAGACGGCAGTGGTGCTGCGCTGCCCCACGCGGCGCTTCCGCAAGCCCCTGATCACCTGGGAGAAGGACGGCCAGCACCTCATCAGCTCCGCGCACGTCACCGTGGCCCCTTTTGGCTACCTGAAGATCCACCGCCTCAAGCCCGCCGACGCCGGCATCTACACCTGCTCCGCGGGACCCGCCCGGGAGCACTTTGTCCTTAAGCTCATTGGAGGCAACCGGAAGCTGGTGGCCCGGCCCCTGAGCCTGAGGAGCGAGGAGGAGGCCCTCGCGGTGAGGAAGGCCAGCCCGAAGGAGGCCCTGCAGCCGCACAAACACCAGAACGGCATCTTCTCTAACGGCAGCAAGGCTGAGAAGCGGGGCCCCGCCGCTGACCCGGGGAGCCGCTACGATGACCTTGTCTCCCGGCTGCTGGAGCAGGGGGGCTGGCCCGGGGAGCTCCTCGCCTCACGGGAGGTGCAGGACTCCACGGAGAGGAACACGTCCTCCGAGGAGGACCAGAACGCCGAGCAGGCCCTCTGGCACCTGCCCTTCACCATGGTGACCGAGCAGAAGCGCCTGGACGACATCCTCCGGAACCTCTCCCAGCAGCCCGAGGAGCTTCGAGACGTCTACAGCAAGCACCTGGTGGCCCAGCTGGCCCAGGAGATCTTCCGCAGCCACCTGGAGCCCCAGGACATGCTGCTCAAGCCACCTGAGCGGCGGGGACCCCCCGTGGCCATCCCCCCTCATAAGCACGTGTCTGGCTTCAGCAGCTCGCTCCGGACCTCGGCCGCCGGGGAGGCGGGGGTTGGCTCTCGCCGGCCCCACCGCAAGCCCACCATCTTGCGGAAGATCTCAGCTGCCCAGCAGCTCTCGGCCTCCGAGGTGGTCACCCACCTCGGGCAGACTGTGGCCCTGGCCAGTGGGACGCTGAGTGTGCTTCTGCACTGCGAGGCCATAGGCAACCCAAGGCCGACCATCAGCTGGGCCAGGAACGGAGAAGAGGTGCAGTTCAGTGACAGGTGAGCCTTGCGGCTACCGGGTCTGGGAAGGGCGGGGGGCAGGGGGCCACATCTGGCCCCGGGGCGCTTGATTCCCTCTTCCTGCAAGGTGGTTCCAAGGGTAGGGCTTAGAGCCCTGGGCCTCTGGGATGGCATCCTGAGTTTCAAGTCCTCTTTTAGTACCAATAGGACCGCTGGAGCAGAGACAAGGTATTTAATTTCTCTAAACCGTATGCTGTCCTCTTTATAAGGTAATAGCAACAATGCCTATCCACCCCAATCCCCATAGGGTCCCAAAGATTAATGAGATACTCCCCAGATAGCTTTGAACTTTTGGCAGAAAGCGATCATTCCAGGCCAAGGCATTATCACATTACCACTCTGTGAGCTGGACCACTGAAAAGCTTATACATCAGGATGCTGTCCCCATGTGTGTGGTCCCCCAGGGCTGGGGAGAGAGGGCAGGCAGCACCTGCTGCTCCCTGTGGGTGAGCCCATCCTCTGTCTGGGCCCAAAAACGCTGTTTGTTCCAGAAAGCTTTTATTCCCAGTCAGACCTGTGATTAATTATCCTAATATCTCCTGGTGTCTCTGTTTTGATGTGTCATTACCAGGATGACAGCATGTATTACTTGCTTCCTTGGGCCACAGCCATTCGTAATGTAAAATCAATAGTGGTGGTAGAAGTTATAATGATAATATTTTTGAACACTGTGTGCCAAGAACTGTGCCATAATTCCTGCCATCCATTCTCTTTTAGTCAATATGGGTGGCCCTGACAACAACAGGGATAGCTAGCCTTAATCGAGAAGTGACTATCTATCTGCCAGGCAAATGTGGTCTTTCTGGGTTTATTTCGCCAAATTCTAACAGTAGCCCTGAGAGGTGGGTACAGTTTTTGTCCACACTTTACGGAAGAGGAAACAAAGCCTAGGAACTTGCTAAAGATCTTATTCACTAGGTGGCAGAGCCAAGGTAGGTGACCCAAATAGGATGCGCGGTCAATGGAAGAACCCTATACTCTGATGACAGAGGGCTCTTTAAGGTCCTCCAGTCCAGGGTCCTTGTTTTAAATTTTTATCTGCTCAGAATCCATGTAGAGTGCTCTTTTCATTAACTAGAATCCTAAATACTATTATTCAGCAATCTTCCTCCCTAGCTTGCTAGTTTTGGGTAAGGAAAGAAAGCAGCCAGGGTGTGTTGTGCCAGGCAGTTTGCCAGGTTTATTTATATGTAACTGCACTTGTTATTCTAACAGTCAGTCCCCAAGATTGACCTTATCCTCCAGGTTCACATAGAAAATCAAGGTTTAGCAGCTCACCCAAGAAGATCACACTTTAGTAAGAGCCAGACCAAGGATTCAATATCAAGTTTGAGTCCAAAGAGTACACAGTTCTGTCGACTCTCCTGAGACTTGGTGAACAAATGTGACTCTGTCCAGCCTGCCTGCATCTTTTGTGCCTTTTGAAATGTCAATAATATTGCTGCTCGGCCTTAATACTTATAGACCAAATAACTTTAATAACAACAATACTAAGTATTTTTCCTGTGTCCTCTTACTATATGCCAGACACTGTGGTCACTGCTTTAAAGCCATTATCTTATGTAATCTTCAAAAATAACCTTAGAGGGTAAATACTATGATTGTTACCACATCAACGATGAGAAGGCTGAGACACAGATGTGGGACCCACACAGAAGCACTGGAGACAAGGTTTGAATGCAGGATTCATGTGCCGGGCATTTGGAATGCACACCTCGAGAACCTCTCCTCTTGTGTGCTCCTCGGTCCTCCCCAGCTTGTACTTTCCTTGATCAGCATAATTGCTATGATTCCTGCAGGTCTTTCTAGAAATCTTTACAACACATTTTGGGGTCAAGCTAAAGTTGGAGTAAATCCCCTTGAGGTCACTGAGTCAATGAGAGGTAGCCCCAGAGGGCCCCCCAGGATGTTGGGTGCAGGCTAAGAGTGGTGCCCTTGTGCTTGGGTGGGGGGTGCACTGGAACTCTATTAGTGCACCTTTCGTACCTACTGTGACCTAATCATGTCATCTTCCCCACCAGCCAGTCAGCTTCTGAAGTGTAGGGACCATTTATTCATATTTCCTTTGCCTCGTGCCCAGGATTGCACTACTGAGATTGAGGGAGTAACAGTTGGCTGTGCACAGGAAAAGATGGGAATTAGCATTTCTTGACTAACTACAGACCTAGTGCTCCATGCTAGCAACTTTTTCATAGCCATCATCTTGGTTAATGACCACAACAGGGTGCAACATGGGAGCTGTTAGCCCTATTTCTGAGATGAGAAAACTGTGGCCCAAAGTAGTTTAGGAGCTTGATGATGTTAGCTAGCTAGCAAAAGGCAGAATCAAGAGGGCAGATTCAAACCCATTTCTGCCCAACTCAAACCCATGCTGTTTTGGGTGAATGAATAAGTTCATGTTTCCATGCATCTGTGCTTCACTAGGGATGCCAACTTGCCTCAAGACCCTTGCTATTGTTTACCAGCTATTTCCAGGCTCCCCTCCTTCCTCCTAAAAGCTGTGGACAAGGCAGGCTGTTGGGAAGGGGGAAAGGGGTCACCAGGACTCTGCTGTGCCTGGAACTTCAGGGAGAACATTTGAGCCCATGGCTTACTCAGAGGTCCTGACCATTTCCTTGAGTGCTGGAGATATTTTGTATGAAGTCCAAGGGTCACAGCCCATCTGGGTCACCTGGTGACTAAAGATAGGATGCAGAAGGAGTCAGATGAGGACTGAGGGCTTCAGGCTGATCTTGTCAAGGCCCTTCACTTTGTGTGGCCTTAGTCCCTTCATCATAAAAGCAGAGGGGGTGGGGGAAGTTGTACCAATTTATCTCTGAGGTCCTGTCTACCTCCTTCATTCCTTTACAAAAGGCCTCAGAAGATAAAAACCCATATGCTGGTGGGAAGTGGGCAGAGCCTTGAGCCCAGCAACTTCAAACCCTGTTGCATGAGCTGTTTCTGAGTGCTCCACAAAACGGGGTTTACTGATCACATGAGTTTGGGACATGTTCACTTAAAGCTGAACATATGTATTTACTGCTGGATTTTACTTCTACTTTCTTAAATATGGTGCTTGATATTTTTTCTCATTTTTATTATAAAAGCAATAAAGGGACTATAAAACAATGCAAATAATACCTAAATCTATAAAGTACAAATGCAAGTCTCCCTCGTCCTCCCACATCTATTCCCCAGAGTCTGTCTCTCTTAATAATTTGGTATACATCCTTTTGGAATTTTTATATATTTTATTGTATTATATATAAAACACATATACACACATATGATTTGGTTTTTTAATGGGATATTACTCGTGTTTAGAAATTTCACATTGTTTCTACTCAACAACATGTCCAGGAGACATTTCATTATAATATGTAGAGATCTGCATCGCCATTTTCAATGGCTGATTACTGTTCATGAGCACATTTAACTATCCCCCAATTGAAAATTATTTTGGTTTTTCCATTTTTTTTAAACTCCTTTAAGCATTCCAACATGTGTTCACTTTCCAAGTGAACAATATAGGATGCGTTATTTTCCAAGTAGTTCTTTGATCAATGAACAATTTTTTGCCCTTGTCATCTCAGGGATACCAAGAGTTCTTGAAATACCACTTAGGAAATATTACTTTCACCTTTTAATTTTCACCTCCTTGGGTACTGAGAGTCTAGCCCTAATGTCTTTAAGATGAAGAGGGTTCCATGGAATCTTGCTAGAAAAAGACACATGGCAGCCAGGTGATAAAGATACTAAAGGTGCTAGACTAAGACAGCAGAGGGCCAATCCTGGCTCTTCAGTCACCAGGACATTGGTGGGAGTGTGGGTGAGGAGTAGCATTAAGAGGGAAAGAGCACATGAAGGGCACGGGCAAACAGCTTTACAGTTTTTGCCACTCTCGAGGTTTTTCTAGATCTAGCCTTGACATGGCTTTCCGATGCAAGTCAATGGCACACAGTAAGGAAAAGTAAGAGCTTTTGGATACTGATCTCCGACAGCATAATTTCTCCATTTAACTTAGCTGGCCAAAAAGAAATATGACTGGAGCTTCATTTTCAATAGGGTTTTCCAAGTCCTATTTGAGAAAAGAAAGTGAATATATCTGCACAGTGCTGCCATTGGGACTGCTTTGCTATGGGCTGTTTGTGACCTCTCTGTGTTGGGTTTCATTGCTTGTCATCATTCCTGTGTCCGGTAGCAGTTCAGAAATGCTCATTTATTTTCACACAGAGACGTGCTGAAATGCCCAGTGTTATAGTTCAGTTAGTCTGGTTTTGCTTAGTACCAAATCCATCTTTCTGAAAGGATCTGCAAGATTCATCTGGCTATTGGTCTGTAGGACTTTGCAATGTATTCAAGTATACTCTTTGTAGCCTGAGCCAGAAAGATAGGTCAAGAGAGGAAGAAAGTAACCAAGAAAAAGTCTACCACTTCTTTAGCTTTTAAATATGCCAAAGTTTTATCTGAAAGAAATTGCTTATATGAAAGAATCACTATCAAGTCAGTTACTACTGTATCTCCTCATACATATAATTTACTAGTTGAATTCACCTGATTCTTAGAAGCACATGCCAACTTCTCAAGCAATAGTTTATGGGATGGCTCTGAATGTATTAGGACAGACTGGTTCATCATAATTGCTGCTTCTCCTTTATTTCACAAACATTCCCATGCATCCTCGGAGCCAGATCCTGCGTTAGATACTGGGCATGGAGGAAAAGAAGGTTCATTCCCTGTCAGTGAAACCCAAAGTCTCGTTTGGAAGCCAGAGAAGTAAATGAAGTGTAGAAGTGCTAATAGATCAGTATGGGTATTTATTCATCCCGTAAGAATTTATTAGCCTATCTATTATATGCCCCCCCAACACACACACACACCACTAGTCACTGGGAATATTATAAATGAAAAAGAAGTCTGCGTTCCCTTGCAGTTTACATTTAGATTTCTGCTCAAATTTCTGCATCAGAAAGGCTTTCCCTGGTCACTATCTAAAAGAG